CTTACTGAATAAACGTGGTATTGCTTTAACTGATTCTTCAATTAAACCGTATCCTGGTGTAATGCATTTATCCTCTAAAACTTCCATCTTTGTGCATGAAATAATAACGTTATCAACTTTTGCGTCAGCAGATGTAGCAGCTAAGCTTGTAATTAATTTGGCAGGAAGTCCGATTTGTTGGAATTTGCGATCATATTTATAAACATGATTCATAATCTTTTCATAATTTGCATCAGTTATCTTTTCATAAACGTAATTTTGTAAATCAGCAACTCTTAACGGGTCAACCTGACAAAATACTAAAGTATCCCTGAAAACATAATATTTAAGAATGATTTCACCAAATGATTTAGGATAATCATCGAACGCCTGAAATGCTAACAAATCATTTACCGGAATAATCATATCAAAAGTGACATCAACTTCTTCATTTGCTTTCTTGAAAACTTCTGAAGGGTCAATATATTTACCACATACTGAGTTATCATATTTTTGAACATTATTATATAACGAATGAACAAACTTTTTAACTTTCCTTTCTGATTTTGGTTTATATGTTGCAAATGCGAAAGATTCACGGGCGCAATCCATCTGAAGATAACCGGCATCACCTCTTTCAGTTTCTACTTCTAATTGTTTAAAGCTTTGATTTGATGATTTGTAACCAACGAATAAACGCATGCATTTAAAAGCGGCATCGCATGTGAAAGCTTTATTTGAAACTAGAGTTGCTTTAACTTTGCGTTTAATATATGTGTCACCTAATTGGTTCACATCATGAGCCGGATTTGTAATTCTTAAATGAGTTTGTTTATCATCAAAATATGGAGCATCAGAGTCATAGCATGAACTTTCAAGTTCTCTATAATATCTTCTACCGTCATTCTTTGCGAATATTTCATTTATCTTTTCGAATGAATGAAACACATTTCCATTAATCGGTTTAGTGTTTGGCACTAAATAGTTAGTCGTCATTTATTGAAATAAAAAAATCAAAATTAAAAGATGAAAATGAATTTTTAATTTTAATGAAATAATCAACTATGGCTGCAGGTATATTTAAGAAACTGTGGGATAAAGTAAAAAGAGGAGCGCATAAAGTTTGGGAAACAATGAAGAAAGGAGCAAATTGGATATTTAAGAATAAAGAAGCAATTAGTGACGTTGCAGAACAAATAGCACCTAATGTTCCGGTAAGGGAAGTATTAAATAAAGGAGATAAAGTTTATCGTCGACTACAACCGATATTGAGATAAAAATAATATTTATTTATTTTTCCACTATTTACCTCCTATTTTATTAAGTATTCCTTCAGCAATTCCACCAATTGCGTTACCTGCTTGTGCTCCCATCGCTGGATTACCTGCTTTAGTACCTAATACTCCACCTATGATAGTTCCTGCCGTTTTCACTACTGGTGCCAAAAAGTTTGCAACGGGTTTAATAATATTTTTATGAACCCAACCCGCAGCTTTCTTAATTCCTTCCCATAATTTTTTAAAGAATCCTGCAGCCATTTCTGATTTAATATTAATTAAAAAATATATTTCATCACTTATATTCTAATTTTTATTTAATGATAAATGAAACCGATTTTAAAAATAAATGAAACAGAGGAGGAAGAAATAAATGAAAGTGAAAATGTTCAACAAAAAATAAACATTATTAAACCAATTACTGAAACAAAAATTTTTTCATCTGTTGAAGAATTTAATGACTATTATGCTAATAATAAAAAATTATTTGAAGAATTGACAACGTGTAAATTGAATAAAATGTTTAAAGTTGATGGATTCAAAATTTCAAAAATAAAGGGGGTGGTTAGTTTGAAATCTATTCCTCAATCAAGAATCACCTCATTAATGAAAATTGATGATTTAACAAAAAGAATAGAAATTATTGAAGAAAGAATAAATCAAATTATTGATTTCATAAATCATGACTCGTTGAGCCCGGGTCCTTAAAGCCCAAGGCATGAAGTGCCCAGGACTTAAAGTCCATCACTGAGTTCAAGGTTATATTCATCAAATATTTCATTATTAAATGCAACTTCTGCTAGTTTATTTATTTTTTCAATACGATCATTTGAAAGTCTATCGTTTAATTTTTTCTGAAGTTTTTCATTTTCTAGTTCTGAAACTTTATTTGGATGATATTTAAACTCGTTAAATTCTTTTTCCTCAGTTTTGATCATTAATTTACAAAGAACTTTTGTGGTTGGAATTCGTTTAAACCATTTATCATTAATATTTGTTATAAATTCAATATTCGGAATTAATTCCCAAATTTTTGCATTTTCAATTAATTTATTATCAAATGCAAAAGCAATGGGTTTAATATTATGTTTACCTTTATAATATAAACTTTCTACATAATCATCGAAATAAACATCTACTTGTTTAACATTTTCAAGAATTGGTGAAAGAGCATCCATTAATTGATTGACGGTTACGAATCTTGATCCACTCATTTTCTTACGAATTAAAAAAATAAATTATTCAAAAAATGTAAGACATGAATTTCCTCCTTTTTTCCCCCTGTTGTCTAAATGTCATGTTGTCACTATTTTCAAAAAGATGTTAATTAACCGAGGGACCGAGGGACCGAGGGACCCCACATTTATTCAAAAAATGTAAGACATGAATTTTTAAAGTTTATTTTTTAAAAAATTATTTTTTTATTTCATTATGGTAGTGAATCTTTTATTCATGAAAATAATTATTTCTAATTTCTTTTACTCTCTCATATATACTAGATTTAAAGAATTCAGAACATTTCCCATAATCTCCTAAATGTTTTCTTATCCCTAACGTGTGCCAGTTATTATATGAAACTGAATAAACTTTATCTTTATCTTTACACCTTTCATCACTTCCAATATATTTATATCTCAGTTTTGATTTAGCATTTTCATATTCATTAACGTTTAATAATTCACAGTCTTCCTTTTTAAATATATGTTTAAGATATTCAGGATTTAATACTCTACGTTTATATGCTCCTAACTTAGTTCTAAAGGTTTTTCTACAAAATTTAGGAATTCCATCCTCTTTAATGTCATCAATGATTTCCATTTCATTATTTTCCATTTCTTCTTCTCGTTTATGAGGTCTTTGATTATGACTCCATTGATTCCATGAAATTAAATATTCTTTATCATTATTATTTATACCTCATTAGCTATTTTGGCTTTCATATTCATTTAATAATTCACAGTCTTCCTTTTTAAATTGAAGTTTAACCCATTCAGGATTTAAACAATGTTTAATTAATCGCGGAATATCTGACATCATCTATATATAGCTTCTTTTATAAAAGATAAAAAAATAAATTATTTTAAAATTAATGTTAATTTTTTAAATGATTTATAAATAAATATATTTTAATGCATCGTCTATATATAGATGTAACAAAAAAAGTCACACAACCCGTCATATCCTACTACTAAAACAATGATAAATATGAAAAGAAATAGAATGCCATAAGCCAGTGATAAATATGAAAAGAAATAGAATTCTATAAGCCAATGATAAATAGGAATGGGAAAAAAAATGTAATGCTTGTTGATATCTCCTCCATTAGTAAGTAAATAAGATGCAATATCATAATTTCCGAAATACATACTTTCTGCTATTGAATCAAAAGTTTGTCCAAAGTTTGATTTAAGATACTCAGCAATTTCATAGTTTCGATATTTCAATGCTGTATTTATCATTTTATCAAATAATTTTCCATCCTCTATCATTTGCATAAAAATATCTTTATTTCCACTTTGAACAGCATAATTTTCGGAACTATAACTGTATTGAGCTCCTAAATTTTTCAAGTAATTGAAACACAATTCTGATCCATATTTAATTGCACAATCAAGTGGTGTGATTTTATCATCTACTTCCTTATTAATATCAAGATTTGGGAATTTAGATTTAAGATCATCAACTTTATCCAATGCAATATAGTATAAAGGAGATTCTGTTGAATATAAATTCAGAATTTTTTCTTCTTCCATTTTAGTTTCGAAGTTTTCAAATTTGAAACCTCTATAATGTAGAAGCGTCGACAATTTCTCATTCTCCGGTTTGATGATGCATGAGAATTCGTTTAATATCTTTTGGTAAAGATCGGTAAATAATTTAATATTTTTAACGCAAATTTGGGAAATAATGTCAATCAAGTAAAGCGATATTTGGATAAATATTTTGTTATTTGTAATGAATTCTATAATTTGTGAAGATACTTGTTCAATATTATTAGAATTGACACCCCAAATAATTTTTGATGCTTGACTAGGGTATTCAAATACTTCAATTGGCTTAATATCACTAAAATTCCATCCAGTTTCATTTTTTGATTGCTTAGAATTTATCATGCCTTGTAAAAATTTTGGATGTAAAATTTTTATACAGAAATTATTACATCAGATATATATCTTTCATATTGGTGAAAATAGAAATGTGTTTGCAAATTTATTGTCCGCCCTGTATTTGTAAAGAATGAATAAGCAAAGATGTTAATCTTTCAAGCATTCTTGCTTGAAATTAATATTCGATAATCCATTTTTGAATTCCGCTTTTACTTTCTTGAAGCAATTATAACAATAAAAGAAATTGTATATTAGTAAACAATATTTCACTTAGTTGAATTTAATGACGTCAAAAAAAGTGCGGAAATTAAAACCGCCGTTTGAGTGCATTCTGAGACTCTGTTTGTCAGAAAGCAAACATCCGTAAACTTTCTGACACTTAAAAAAACTGGCCTTTTGTAAGATGATATAGTAATGATGCTTTATTAGGGTATTCAAATACCTCAGTCGACCTAATGTCACGAAAATCACATTCAGTTTCATTGTTTGATTGCTCAATACTTGACATATTTTTTAGAAATTTGGTCTTTCAAGGTTATTGAATTTATATGTTTTTGTGTCAGAAAAGTACTCAATTTTCCTCTCAAACGATCTTATTAATAAAATATAATTATAAAATATATATATATATACTTTTTTAATCAAAAACAGAAGGAACATCTAATCCATCAAACAATCCAGAAGAAAGATCACAAACAACTTTTGTTGAAGGGATGAACAATGACCAGTCAATTTCATTTTCTTCCCTTCTAGTTCTATAATTCACAACTTCTTCCTGTGGAGATTTTTGTTCATCATCTTTATTGGAAGTAGAAATATTCTGATCATTTTCTAGATCATCATTATCACTTCCTTCCAATTCCTCTTTCAGAACAATGTTCTTTACCTTGGCGAACAAACCATCTTCTATCTTTATTGTCACTGTTTCATTCTCTTCTTCCATTGGCTTCATCTGTGCCTTGAACATCTGTTTCGACCATTTAGTGAATGGCTGTGCAGGAGCGCATTGAACAGTGTCGTGTATCACAGACTGCAATGAACAAGGGAAGAAACCAGTATCATTGATGAACAATGGAGGGAATGTTGTCGGAGAAGCGAAACAATCTTCGTTATCATCAAATGCATCATTGAACTCGTACTTTTGCAAAAAGTGTATTTTAGGGAATTTCGGAGCAATTGTTGATGCAATTGTATTTATAACTCTTTTGATTGTTCCGCCGCGACTTTGGATGATAGAAAGCAATGAATCAGCAGCATATGACTGATTATTGTTTGCGCACGTAGAAGCAATGATTGACACTGTTGTTTCATCGATCTTGCAGTTGACCATTGTCATCAACGCTGCACAGAAATCGAAAATCATCTGCTGTGTCAATCCAGTTGTTGTCGCTGCAATTTGGCCAAGCAATCTGAATGCGATGTTTGCATCTCCTTCACCGATTTTGTGAGGGGAAGATGATGTCATCAACTGATTGCGTGTCTCGCTTTCGTTGCCGGTGATATCCGCTAAAGCATGTAAGGCAACAAAAACAAATTGTGCGGCATTAGTGTCGTCCAAGGCTACATTGACTAGATTGTTTTGTTCTAGTAATGTAGAGAGTAATAATAACCGTGGAACTGTCTCTTTGTTGAATTTGGATTCACTAATTAAACTTAATACGCCATCAAAGTTATTTGGCCGGCCATGCGACCGAATTTTATCTGACGCGTTTTGCTTTTTGAGAATCTCGATCATTATATCGATGGCCGCGTTAAGAATTGAGACATATTCGACGGTTCCACAGATTGTGAAGGCCGCTGCTGTCCAGAACGCGTCGACAAACACTTCATCACTAAGTTCTACGCATTTCTTGATCAGTTCAAGAAGATTTGTGATGTATAAAGTCACCATCTTCCAATCTACGTTCTGCTGATCGTCAACAATTACATAGAACCACTGGGAATGCCTTGGCTTGGCTAATCCATTAGATTTCTCGTACAAACAAAGAGCACAAACATATAAGTTTCGAGTGGCTTTTTGAATAATTTCTTTTGCATCGAGTTTATCCGCAGTTTGGATGTACAACTTCAATGCGCGAGTGGCAAATTGAAGGTCGCCGCAGCATAAACCCCATGTAAGAAGCTCATTCAGGATTAAATTTTTAGTTTCGTCGTCTAAGTCTCTGATCATCTTCGCAATCTGGTCTTCTTGGCCACTGAAGCATATAGGGATGATACTTCTGAACTCAATAAGGTCTTCTTGGAACTGTGACATAGTAATAATTGTAAATATGACTAACCACGGCTTGTACTTGTCGAAATCTGTTGTAGATTGCTCGAATAGTGTTTTAATCGTACGGATAACAAAAGAAATTGCTTCTTCGTAAGAAATTAAGTCACTATCTCCTTCATCTTCGTTTTTATTCAAAGCTTGGCCGATGAACTTATCGATATCGAACAATGCGTCGTATTTGCCGTTAGTTGTTTCGTGGTAATGCCAAAAGGCGAACCTCAAAAACTGAAGAATGTCTCTGATGACTATATCAGGGCTAACCATGAAAATATAGGCTATGATTGTCTCGAACTGGCTGTTCTCACCTCGTAAAACGTGATTCAACATGATTGTTACGATAATAAAATGAGCAATGTTATCTGACTCTTTGCTTTGGCCTTCTATGGCTCTCCTGACAAGTTTGAGTGTATTTATGTTCTTAGGAAGCGAAAGAAGGTCTTCTGTAAATGAAAATGCTGTGGAATAAGCAAATTTGTCAATTGTCCCTACAATGACTCGTTTATCGTTATAGTCTGAGAAACAAACGTTTGAGAGCCACGGTTCGATGGCAGAAGCAAGAGTTGGATATGCTGAGGCCAATTGCATCATTTTGAGGACAATCTGCTCACCTATTTGAGGGATCTTCTTGTGGAATACTGCGGAGAGAGTAATAGCCGGATTTAAGGCACTTCCGTGGATATGATTTAAGATATTTGAAGTTAAGTCATTGATATTCTTATAAACAATGGCAACATCTACTGGTGAACAGAAAGCAGTGGCAGTTCCAAGTCCGACTGCTCTCAAAATCCTAATTGCAGATTTCTTCGCTGGAATTGAGTCTCCCATTACATAATAGAAGGCCAAACCTAGGAGAGTACCTGATGAATAAAGGATTTTCTCGGAGAAGATGCCTTCGTTCTCGTTTTTGTTTTCGTAATTTTCGATTGCCGAAGTTTGGAGTTCCATTAATGGGGCATCTGGTGCTGGGAACATATTAGCAATCGCATGGAAATACCTGACGTCGGTCTCTGCTTTCTCTGTGAATACTGCTAATTGAGTTTCTATACAACGTAGGAGAAAACGTGACAACAACAATGGATTTCCATCTGTGAAATAATCGATAGAGTTGACGAACTCGAGGAAGCAGAATTCGGGGATTGAGAATACAGCGAGCAAAGCGCTTAAACATGTTTGCGCTGCTTCTGTAACTTTTTCAACTCTGACCAAATTAAGAGTTAATGCGAACCAAGACTTGTAATCTGTAGAGAATGGGAACTTCGAGACTAAAGCAGGTACTCTGGCATACAATCCAGCAGGTGTCATCGCTAATCTATTGTAAATACTTTCGAAACAATACGCTCCGAACTCCAGGAACGAGGTAATCGCCATGGAAATATTCGGATCACCATCTGGTAGTTCGTATAATGGCTTAATATGGTCAGATTTGATATTTTTCGAAGTGAAATAGTCAAAGAAAACTGCTAAAACATCGAAAATGAGGCCAATGTTCTCCTGGACAGCTTCTGGTGGTGAATTTGTCACGTACGTCCTCAAACCAAAGAGGATTGGTTTGTATAAATAAGAACTATACTTAAGAGTAGCGATATACTGGATGAATATGTCATCCTTGAGAGCACAGAATATTCCTAAGCCTAACGCTTCATTCGAATGACAGATTTCGTTTGTTTGTTCGATCAATTTTATGAATTTCTTTGATTCTATGTTATCTACGAAGGCTGCATTGACCATACAAAAGTGTTGGCCGATGTCAGGAATCTTCGAATTCTCAATTAAAGAGTTTGCTGTGTCAATTGAGTCGATAGAGATGATATCTGTCTTCGAAATGAGCTTCATGTACGAGGACAAGAAGAATAAGAAGGCTTTCTCATAGGAAGAGTTCGAAATTTCGTTGAATTTGATGATTGACATCGTTTCTATTATATAAGAGCCGAATCTACCTGCTCTAAGTAAGTTTTGGAGTGCAGTACTGACGATTTGTGTCTCGTTCAGTCTCAAAAAGCTTCCAGCGGTTTCAATATTCTGATATAAGCTTGCGAAACTGTCGATAGCGTTCAAAGCCTGCTGTCTGACTGTTGGCTGTGGTACACACAATCCAATTAAGTAGATGGCGTTGACGTAAACTATGACTTTTTGTGGAAGATTTTGATGAAATTCCTGGGAAGAGCACGTTGACGAGATTATGTGGCTCAGACAGTTAATACCTATTACAAGGGACTCATAGGATTTAAGTAATCTGTCTTTGTAAACGTTTACAATGCTTTCAAAAATATTTGTAAACATTTTCGGTTCTCTAGCGATCATTGTCTGCAGGGAACGAACCGCTGCAGCAGATACAGCAGGCGCGGAGTTGAAAATGTGAGGAACAACGTCAGGAGCGATAGTTTCATCTAAATCTGTCAAAGCAAGCGTATGTAATGCATAAGCAAGGGAAGGAAGCTGGGTCTGTGGTGTTCCTAAGACGGATAGAACAGAACTGGCGGTCGCAAAGTAGGAATCATCGTAATCTTTTGGTAATAATTTCAAAAGTTTACGAATTTGAGTTGTTGCAGGCGAAGAAGCCTGTTTCATGGGCTGAGGAAGTGATTCCTGGGCTGTAAACTCAAGAGCTGTAACTAAATTTGCATGATATAACAAAGAATCAACAAATGACATGACATTGTAGGTCAATTTCGTTCCGAGATCATTGGAAGCAGCGAATAATCTTGAAGTAATTAATTCTTTGTAGATAAACCTGCATTCTATCTTAGAATCCGAATCATTATCTTCTAATTCGTCAGGGAAAAGGATTTTGAAGCCGGATTCGAACAGAGCTGCATAGTTGTGTTCAGCAAATGGGTTTGTGAACGTTTCCCTTAAATGGCTGGCAAATAAATTCGAATGATGATTAAACATACTCAAAAAGCACTCAATGAGCTGTTCCTGGTAGTTCTTAAGGATCGAGCTATTTTTCGCGAGGTTCTGACAGAAGTCATCAATTGAATTTTTAGAAATTTGGTTTTCTCCGGCCAAAAGATAAGACATCTCTTCAATCGCGTGGCCAACGTGGAGCTCGCTTGAAAGGTTCTTCTGTATTTTCTTGAAATAGTAATCGTCGGCTGAAATTTTCAAATTTGGATTTCTATTGAACGAAAGAATGCGAGCTCTGCATCCGCAAGCTGGTCCGCAGTATCCATGCTTTGAGGCGATCTCGTCTGCCCTATTGTAAGCGTTTAAAAGGAAGCTGTCGGTCCTAGTTTTCGGTGTAGAGATAAAAATTGAACTGTAAAGATTTGAGAGGAATTCTATCGCTGTGTTATGTAAAGGATCGGTTCCTTGTGAGGTCGGTTTGGCCAAACTCCAAAATTCTTTCTTTTTATTGAAAAATGTTGATTTTTGAGTGAGTTGAGTATCTAATTTCGCGAGATCTGTAGCGATTCCGAACATTACTGATGATAGCAATGATTGCTTGATCAATCTCTTGCTGTCACTCATTGTAGAATTATATAATTCTTCGATAAATTGATATGCTGCTGTTTCTGCGGGATAACTGTATATAATACTTAATTCATGAAGGCACTTGCCCCATTTACGTGCAGAAACATAGAAATATTGTAAATCTTCTTCATTAATTTTATTATCAACGACATTTAATACGATTCTATTAGTAAACGTTAATGCTTGGTCATCAGATAAGTCTCTAGAAAGTAAAATTGTATGATGAACAAATGATGCACGTAAAAAATCAAGAAAAATTAAAATTGAAAGTCTAACTACGTGATTATCCCATTTCGCGTGATTTAAAAATGTTGCTACGAGTGATTTTGAACCTTGTTCTTTAGGATTTGCTGTTGAATAAAGGTCAAAAGTTGGAAATGCATTTTCTATAATCGTAAATATTTGATCTATTACTTTGGAGACTGTTAAAGTGAGTGGCGTAAGTGCCAATACGATTGAGTGATCGTTTTTGAAGAAATTTTCATAGTATTCCATGAGTTTATTTCGAGATTCAGGAGTTCCTAGCTGAATATCGGGTAAATTGCTCAGGAAATTTTGACATATTTGCATAGTTTGTCTAACAATGCTATCTATCTGCATGTCAATAATCGACTTCTTATCTGAAGAAGTCGCCGTCATGCGGTGCTTTGTCACTTTTATATTTCACTAATTCATTTTTGACCGGAATGGTAAGAGAAAAATACTATAGTGTATATTGCACACTTATATTTTTAAACTGAAATTCATTTTATTTCTATTGTAGATGTCAAATTTAGAATTTCTCATGATTTGTTCTCGAACTGAATTCCTAAATCAGTAAAATTAATTTGTTTTATTCTAACCTTGCATAATACGCTGTATTGGTGAACAAATTTATGTTTTTGTCAATAAGATTGATGAAAAATTAGATATATATTTAAAAATATTGGGACTCGTTGGGATAAATAGTCATATTTTGCGTAGAGTAAGCATGTTTGAAAGTATCTCATGATGTTTGCTTAAATATTGGGAAAAATATTATCAAATTATTTATTCAATTGAATCAATATATAGTCTACATCAATTAGTTGTTGGTGTTAATTGTCTATTTAAAGTAGTCATTGTTTTATGAATCAGGATTAAAAATAAAAAAATTAATAAAATCAATTATAAGTATTTTTATTAGTTCTTGCATAGAAGAACCATTGATGTTTCCATTGGATCCTTGACATTTGGATAAAAATCATCTTGAATAATTTTTGTAACTTTTGCAAAGAAATCATCGCATTCTCCATGGCAAATTGGTTGTTTCTTAAATCCATCCAATTCCCAAAGCTTTCCATCAAATGGAACAAAAGCAATAAAGTGATTTGAATCAGAATCTTCAAGGAATGGCGTAGAATCATCATTAGCTGTAGTTTCGTGGGCATCTTGAACTTCGTCATCTTGTTCAAGGGCTTTTCCTCTTTCCTCTGGTGTTTTATCTTTGTTATCATTGATGAAATTCTCTATCCACGAATCCCTTTTAAGTTTAAAGGAGTCTAAATTATTAGCAATCGAATGAATAATAGCAATTGTACCGCATGCATTGTCAAGAGTTTGTTTAAGATAAAATGGTTCTTTTCCTGTATTTGGAGGATCACCTTGATGGCGTCTCTCAAGTGGTCCATCCTTCTTGCCGTATGGATAAAGGAATATTAAAGATTTTGGATTTGGTGGATATAATGAAATATATTCTGGATCAAGAGAAAAAACTTCAGCAAATGTAAATGTATCTGGATCAACACCAAGGTTTACTGTATATTCGGTTAAAATTTCTGGATCATTAGATAAAGGTGGTAAATCAGCCATTTTTTTGAATTTTCATATCACTTTTTGGAAAAATTTTGATCAATTTGACTGACCAAATCTTTTTTCTAATTTAATATGGACATTATGTAATCATCGATTTTATTTAATAAAAAATAACCTAATGATTATTTTGGAAAAATTATTCGCAAATTTTTATGATATGATTGTTCAAGCATGCTGATTGAATTAGCAAAGGAAGTTATTATAGGCATATTACAAGATTCGTATTCAAAAGATGTAGACTATTAAATTAATCTGCTTCTTTATCAAAGTAAACGACTACTTTCTTATTAAATGAATTATATGCTATGAGGATACATATGGGAATATATATTATCATTTCTCTTTCATAAATGTTTCATGTATTCTTCAAATTCATTCTTTTAAACTAAATGTCCCTTCCACATGATGACCAGGGCAATTCATATTCAGAAGATTGGTTAACTTTCTACAGAGCGCATGATAATGAAGCGCATGTTCTTGTTTCAGCAAAAGCTAAATATATTCAAGGTGAGAATGAGGGTTCATATGCATTTATTACCTGTAAAAATACACTTATATCTTTTTCTTTTGAGGATAATCCAAATCTCATTGAAATTCAAAATTATGCATTCTATCAATGTGGGAATTTACAGAGTATTGACTTATCACCATGTAAAAAACTTACTATTATTGGTCAATATGCATTTTCCCAATGTAGAAAAGTAGCCTCTCTTATGCTTCCTGAAAAATTATTAAAATTGAGAGATTATTGTTTTAGTACAATAGTACAACTACAATCAGTTATCATTCCAGATTCAATAACTAAGTTAGGTACCCGATGCTTTTTTTATTGCACAAATTTGAAAACATTTACTATAAATCCGACATCAAACTTAAGATTTTTGATGGGAAACTTTATCAGAAAATCATTGATAGCAGAATTCACAATTACAGCTAATGTTGAGCTTGTAGATCCAGGTGTTTTTGAAGAAGTTCCCTTAACAACATTTTCAGTCAGCCAAAATAACAATTACTACGTCTCTGAATCAAATTTGTTACTCACTAAGAATAAAACAGTTCTAATTTCTGCGCCTATGCTCTTAACAGGTACTTTTACAGTCCCTGATGGAATACAAGTTTTGGAAGGTGTTTCTTTTTCCTGTTCAAAGTTAGAATATGTTAATTTCCCAAATACTCTAAAAACAATCAGACGTCATTGTTTCTTTAATAGTAAAACCCTTAAGAAAGTTGTTATACCTAACTCTGTAACAGAAATCCAGCAAAATGCATTCCAATATTGTTCAAGTTTATCTGAAGTAATAATGTCAGAAAATGTTATTGTTCTTAATTCATATGTATTTTTTCGAATGTAACTTGAGTAGTTTCACTATTCCTCCCAAAGTTGCATTAATAGGTGCTGGCTGCTTCTTAACAAATCCATACTTGAAGCGGATTGTTCTTCCTAGCTCGGTAAAGACATTAGTTGGAACAGTTTTTGATCCAGGCGTTGAAATTGTTTTTGGTGAAGATTCGAACTTTTATCTTGACGAGCAAAAATTGATATTAACCAAAGATAATTTAACAGTTATATCATATATTGGACCTGACACAAGTCAGGATATTGTTGTTATGGATTCAATAACGACAATAGGTAGAAGTGCCTTTGTTTCCAAAGGAAATTTGAATTCAATCACATTTGGTTCTAAATCTAGTTTAACTACTATTGATCAATATGCGTTCCAAAATTGTAAGAAAATGAAGTTCATCAACATCCCAACAACTGTCACAACAGTTGGATATTTTGCATTTGATGGATGTGAGAATTTAAATTCTATTTCATTTAATTCTCTAAGCATACTTGGTCAATATGCATTCAGGAATTGCAAGAAACTTTCTCAGTTGAATTTATTTGCTTCAACTTTAAAGACAATTGAGACATATTGTTTTTCAGGCTGCTCTAGTTTGGCTTCATTTAATTTGCCAGAAAACTTACAGACAATACAAAGCAACGCATTTTCTGATACAACAAGTTTAACTTCAATTATTTTTGTTTCAAAAATCACTGAATTATTAGATTCGTGTTTTTCAAATAGTGGCTTACAAAAAGTTGATTTATCAAATTGTATCAATTTGATTCAAATAAATCCATTCTCTTTCCAAGGCTGTTCTAGTTTAAGCGAACTAATAATTCCTCCTAATTTGCAAGTGATTGAAATGTCAGCATTTAGTAATACGCAAATTGTTAATTTATCAATTCCTCAATCATTGAAAAGAATAGAAACTTCAGCTTTTCAAAATTGCGCGAATCTTAAAACGTTCAATATTCCAGAGAACTCTCTTTTAGAGTTCATTGGTTTGTATGCTTTCAGAGATTGCATGATGTTGAGTGTAATAAAGTGTCCTGAAAGAGGAACAGATCATTTCAAAGTGATAACAGGAGCTTTGTATAATTTTGATATGACAAATTTAATTCTATTTCCTCCGGCATCTTCTATCACCTATTTTAGTTTACCTGGCTCTGTTACATCAATTAACCAAGGAGCTTTCATTGGCTGCAAGAATTTGCTTTCAGTTTTGTTTCCAAGTGGTAGCGTTAGCAGAATTTCAGCCAATGCTTTTGAAGGTTGCTCAAGATTGACATATATAAACATTCCTTTATGCGTCACAAGTGTTGGTGAGAACGCATTTTTAGGTTGCTCTAGTTTGATTTGTGGTGTTCAAATTGAAAATACAAGTAAAGTTTTTATAAATGAAGTTATTAATAAAGCTGGTCTCCCAGCATCTTCTTATAAAGCATGTGTCGAAAATATAAAATCCTGTAGAACACATTATCAAAGTAGATTTGATATGATGACTTATACTGTTATGATTGTTATGTAAAAAAAAAACAAAATATGAAATTATAAAATAAAACTTAAATTATATCTTTCGACTACTTGGCATCCAATTAAACAGTGCGTTACGGGTGATAATATTCAATGAACATCTCAAGATATTAAAATTTTCAATGGCAAACAATAATACATATTTTTATATTGAGACATAATAATGACCGTAATCCCATGAATTGCAATATGTATGTAAAATATTTGAGACAAGAAACGTTGATATCTACTCAAGCTGGATCAATTTCAGCCATTGGTTGCCTTAATAATAGTTAATAAATATCTTTTTGTTGCTTGTCTTTTAACTATTTTGATGGAAATTCAAAAATTGAATGTGAAGGAAGATTATCTAATTTTTTACACTATTCTGCTCTTCAGAATGTCAATATGAAATTGATTGAAATCCAAAATTAGAAGAATATATTTCGTAAAGCTATCTATTTTTGCAGAGAATAATCTGTAAATAAGGCTGAAAAACTTATGAATAAATTTTGTGAATTCATCATATGTGTATGACACAAAGTTGACTGAGATACTTAGTTTAATTATATTCTTACAAAAATAGTTCTTTATTCATAAAGCTTTGGAAATATTTAGTAGTTCGGGAAAAGACCGTAGCAACTTCTATATTTGTATAAGTGCTGTTTTAGAGTTTGTTTATCTACACATTTCCTAATTGTAGCAATCAAATGCTGAACATTTGCGCCTTTTGAAATGATACCAGAAAGACATCCATTTACGAAAAATGAAGCAAGATTCTGAAATGCCACAAATGAAATTGTTTTAACAGGTTCGAAAACCCTGAAACAACAATCCCAAAACTGCTTTCTTTCATAAAGGTAGCATTTGTTAGAAACAATGACATCGGAAATGAAATCAAAGTACCAATCATCTTTTGTAGCATTAAAGTTCTCTTGGAACAGTTTGAACATTTCAATTCTGACACTTTGATTTCGATGCAAAAGATATGCTTTGAAGAAATCATCTGTCAAAAGGAATGGAATTGGCTTCTTAAATTTTGCTTTTGTTTCTTTGGCCTCTTTAATTCTACCAACTTCGATGTGAGTAGCGTATCTGCAAACAAGGATATCTGTATCAATTGATGATTTGGCAAATTTATTGATTATATGCATGAACTTTTTATCATCTGCCAACAACGAAGTCATTGATGAAGGTCCGTTATTAACTCTTTTGTAGAAAAGCATTTTTGCAGAATCGTTTGATTCATCCAATACATGATCCCATGTTGTTTTTCCTACTTGAGCATCATTAAATAGGTACCAGTTTTCTCCTTGTTTACAGTATGAGTAATGATGTCCATGTTGTATAGTTCCATGGTAGATAATTGTTCCACAGAGTGTGAATTTAACACCATTGTATACAAGCTCTGGTTGAATTTGATAAGATTTTGAATCAGATCTCTCAAGTTTGAATACAAAGACTTCTGGAAGATTGATGATCTTTCTCTTCAAAAGACAGTCATACATAACTCCTTTCGACATTTGTTGTATTGGTTCTGGAGCGATATAAGCGTCAATTTGTTGAGCAATAGTCTTCTTGACATCAGTTTTGATTAGGAATGAAAGTTTGTCATCATTTATTGTAAGAATGACATTTTTAGTAGCTTGATCTTCATAATCACCATCAATTCTCATGTAGAATGGGTTGTTTTCGGCTTTGAGAATGTCATAAACATTATTAACGACATCGAAATAGAATTCATCGGCGTCATTATGTTGGGCTGGATCAATTGGATCACCTAGGAATGTAAAATCTTGTACAAGGTGTTTCATATGAATTTGATGTTGAATTGAACTATATTGCATTTCACAAAACAAATTTTGAAGAGCCATGATGTATTTATCATTCTCAACTTGAGCATTGAGAATTAGATCTCTAAATTCTTTGATGTTGAACAACTGTTGTATGGTTGAATTCAAATAACATGTTCCACCGAGATTTTGAAGTCCATTCTTCAATGATTCAACATTTTGTAATTGCAAGCATTTCTTCTTGCAAATGAATGAAACAACTGCTTTCGGATCAAGAAATGCATAGTAATGTTTAAGGAATAAAGTTAAATTATCACTAATTGCCAGTTCTTTGTTATTATTGATCAAATTGGCAAAGATATCTTGAACAATATATCCGTAATATCCATGATTTTGTGATATTTGATCATCCTTTTTGTTACAGATTTCAAATGCACTGATCAAATTGTTGACAAAATCATCAGAAAGAGTTGCTTTTGTTTCTTTTATTTACTTGTGAAGGTTCTGCAAAAATACTTTGAAATCAGTTGTTTTTGATGCTAAAATTGGAATTAATGAATAGCGGAGAGATCTTGGAATGGATAGATTTGATGACATCTGATTGAAAACTTCATATTGAATATTGAAGACTTTTGGTTCTGATTTGACTTTCTGAATTATGATTTTATTTAATTCAGGATAATCTGTATCAAGAAGTTCTTTGAACAAATTTTTGACTTCGGATTTACTTTTAGCTAAAAGAGTTTCGAGTGAATTTGTTGATACCAATTTATTCCACTTCTTAATGTAATCTTCTTCAACAGTCGTCATTTTATGAACTTCTTTAGTTGTTCGTATTGGAACTTGGTGTTTCTTAACCAGATATTCTTTTGTTTTTTGAGTATCTTCTTCTACAGGTTCAATATCACCGATTATGTGTGGTTCATCAACTGATGATACTCTATAATATGCGTTTGTTTCTTGAACATCTTCTTCAAAAGGCTGAACATCTCCTGGTTCTGTATGGTTTTCTTTTGTATTCATTCCAGTTTCTCCTGTACATGTAATAAGTGGATTTAATTTATTGATTATATCTTCTAATATTGCTAGTTTTAAGCATTTTTGAAGAGATTTAATAATCATTAGTGTTTCATCAAGATAATTCAGAGAAGCATGTGCATTTTGAATTGCATAAAATAAGTCAGGAGAATCGTATTTATCTGATCCCTGTTTTAACATTGAAATGTAATCTTTAGTTGATAATCTTGTATTAGATAAGATTCTTCTTGCTTGTGTTATCTCGTATTTATCGAAAAACTTCTCGGCTTCTAGTAAAGTTTTGATATTTTGTGCATTAGAATCGACACCAAGCATTAAACTTTTTTTTATTTATTTTATTTATTTTATTTTATTTGAATGAAAAGTCGTATTTTTTCAATTTCTTGATTTTTCTATATTTAATTTAGAAATTTGTTAATAAAAATGTATCGTAAATTATTACATATTAAAGAAATCGGTGAAATTCTAATATTGTAATCGAAATTTCGCAATAACAACTGTAATTGGGAATTTTAGTTTACATTTTTGTTGTGTAACTTATTGGTGCTCAATTATCTTAAAATTATTAGTTTTAATTATGTCATTTTAAACAAAGAAGTGTATTAACTCTCACCATCATATCTAAGCTAAACTTGTTTCAGAGATTAATGTCTATCAATAGAATACATTAATTGTGCAGTTGTACCTATAAATTGCCTCATAATTTTCTTGATCATTAGATTAATTTTCCCCTTATACTTCAATATCTACCTTTTCATATATTGAATCATGCATATAAATAGGTAACAAAGGATAAGTATTGACTTTGATCATTGATATTTGATATTTCGCGTAAATATTCCTTTATTAAGGAATATTAATTCAACAAAGTTTGATTACAATAATATATTTTCAAAAAATAGCACTCTCTGTAGACAATTATTGTGTATTATTTAGAATTTAGAAATTTGCAAAAAAAAAATCTTTAACAAGCTAAAAATACTATATTAGCAATATAGTATGCTAATGGACTTTTTGCAAAGTAAGAAGTTAAACATGTATTTATTCTTCCAGAGTTATTTCAATTGCATTGAAAGGGAGGGAAAGTGTCATAATTATAGTATTTGTCACTTTTCGTATTTCAGATCACAATTCTGTCTTTTCGGATAAATTCCTCTGCGTGATATGTTAAACAAAATTTCACGGTTAAATTCTGATTGATTACGATAGAAAATCCCAAAAATTTTCTATCGTATTTTTTGAATGCAATCAAGTACTCAAATGACATCTGAAGAGGATAATACGGCACAATGCCCAGTTTGTCGCTCAAAACAGAAACTTGTAACCCTTGCATGTTGCGATGAATGTGCTGTATCACTTCGCAATACAGAAATTTCGATAAATCAAGATATTATCGATACAGAATTTACACCTATAATTAAGTCCGAAATTCTCGAGGAATGCTCTCTTGCTATTGCAAATTCGAACTACGAAGATATTGGGTGCGCTGCGCCTAAATCGAACAAAAAAGAAGCAAAATACTACAAGTCATTAAATGAATGGGTTGGAATGATGAATGATCTCGATGATGTCACTAACTCTAGTGCAATTCCAGTCGATACAAACGAGGCAACTACATGTATTAGGTGGGCAACTTACATTTCTTTTGGAATTAACTTCAGTTTGATGATAGGAAAAGCTGTTGCCCTATCAGCATCAACATCATATACACTTATTTCATCGTTAGCAGACTCCTGTCTTGATATTATTGCAGGAACGATCATTTCATGTACTGCGAAACACTCAAAATTTACAAGAGATGACCTTAATAAATACCCAGTTGGTAAGAGTCGCGTTTCTACAGTTGGCCTTCTCGTTTTCAGTGTTTTAATGGCATGTTGCGCAACATATATTATTATTGAGTGCGTTCAGAGCCTTATAAAGAAACAAAAGCCAGCCGCCGAGTCAATACTCTCAATAATAATTATGGGTGTAACTATAGGCGTCAAACTTACGATGGCAATTTTTTATTATTGCTTGGGACATCCAATTACTAAAGCCCTTGCCGAAGACCACCGCAATGACGTCATCACTAACTCTATTGGCCTTTTCATGTACTGGGGAGGCCACAAACTCGGTTGGTGGATGGATTCAACCGGTGGAATTATTTTGAGCCTTTTCATACTTGTTTCATGGTTCATGAATGCGAAAGAGAACGCAAAGATGTTGATGGGAGTATCAGCACCTCCTGACGTAATCAGAGCTTTGACTTATGTCGCTGCAAACCATCATCCTCTCATTGTAAACGTTGAACAAGTCATCGCCTTCCAAGTCGGTCCTCTCTACTTTGCAGAGCTCCACGTCATTGTTCCTGGACATATCCCAATCGGTGTCGCACATTGGATTGGCGAGAGTTTGCAATTGAAGATCGAAAGAGTTCCTGACATAGAAAGAGCGTGGGTTCACGTGGATGTCGAAACTCATAACGAAAATGAGCATCTTCTGTTCATGAGAGCTACTGGAAAGCTTGAAAACAGAAGGCCAAGCAGCGAAAATGATGAACCTGTTGCTCCATAATTTAATATTTTTATTTATTTCATTCTAAAAATGTATTTTGTAGTGAGTTTTATTAACACAATCAGTATTTATTTATTAGTGTTCATTCAATCAATTAAAAAAAGTTGTAATAAAATTAACCAAATTGGAAATTATGAATTTTTATAATTACGTACGATAATCTACGAGCTCTGATGTAATATATAGTATTTTTAAATCAATTGGTTAGATTGATTGAGTAATTTGACAAGTTATTCGATTGGATATGTTTTTGTTATAGATGTAAATGAACTTTTTGTGGTTATTGTGGTAAACAATTCGTAAAACAGATCAATGTCAAGACAGTTCCTTTGGAAAGCTGATACATTAATTTGCCTCCTTAGGATCAATCATCGAAACTATTTATGGTTCAGTTATTATATAATCATTGGATGAATCGTTCATGAATTCGGAGGAGATTTAATGGACGATTACTCTTTGATTGCAAGATTAATTAAAAGTTGTTATTTTTGAACAATAATGACTTAATAAGATTCACAATGAAGTTAATGTTCTAATATGATTCATTGGAAGCCGTAAATAACTTTATATTTTTGAAAAATTTGATATTTGATGTGACCTATTTTGGGAAAACCGTCGTCTCACAATTATTGAGTGTATCTGACATTGAAATTATTTTCAATACAATTACCTACTTTTCAATGTGCAAATAAGATTTTAGAAAAACATCACTTTTATCGTCCAAAAATTTAAAAGTGTCATTTTCCATGATGGAGCAATTACCAACCATGAACAAGACACAGCTCGAAGCCAAGCTTGCTGAGGGCAACTACGTCTTAATGTTCTCTGCTGAATGGTGCGGAGACTGCAAGTTCATCAAGCCACACATGCCAGCAATCATGGAAGAATTCAAGCAGTTCAAGTTCTATCTTATCGAACGTGACTCCAACATTGACTTATACCAGGAGCTTGATGTCTTAGGCATCCCAAGTTTCCTCGTCTACAAGGATGGCAAGGAAGTCGGCCGCTTCGTCTCCAGAGATCGCAAGACAAAGGAGGAAGTCTGCAACTTCATCAAGAAGTACATCTAAGCAGTAAACACTGTTAAGTTTTACTCATCTTCTGCTATTTTTTTATTATTTTCTGTTATTTCTTTTTGAGCATTATTGTTACATGTTTTAGATGGTAACGTATATGACCGTTTCATTAAAATGGTCAAGAGATAATAAAATAAATTGTCATTTTTAATTTTAACCATCCATTTTCATCATAACACCTAGGTGGATCCCTTTGGAAGGAAATGATCATATATTTTGATTGAACAGTTTGATTTATTAATATAATATAACTCATTTCACGAATGACGCTGATTTAAAAGCATTAAAGCCAATTTCAGTTAGTTACACAGTTGTACCTAATAAAAACACACAGATTATAATCAGTGTCAAAGGTTTTTCCATTAATTTTTCATTACCCAGAATCAAATAAACTCACTTTGTCATGCTTGAAATGATTCAAAATCCAGCCAAAAGAGATTTATGAGTAGGTGCACGAGTGTGTATTCAACAGAATCTTAAAATAAGAAAATAAGTTTGAAACTTGATATAAATCAGTCTTGATACGGTATTTGATGACAAATTAATAGCTAATTATTGGTTTACATGGAAATCTAGATAACATCTTAGGTGTGTCATTCCATCAAACTATGTTTTTTTCTTGATTTCAAAATTTGAAAAAGTAAATACGATGAGAATTTGACAGAAAGAATAAACAGGCGATATGCATACACATTATGCACAAATTTTTCATGTCCAAATTGATAAATCAACTTTTTATATTTGTAAAATAATCGATTGAATTGATTTTAATCGCATTTAATTTGGCTTTATGGCACAGATTATCGACGAGAACGCCAAAGTCTGCGAAACACTCGAAGGCTACCTCGACTCGATCGGTATAACAACTGCAGGGTTAAATTATCATACACTTTCTATCATTGGTCCACAATCATCAGGTAAATCAACCTTACTTAACAATCTCTTCCACACAACATTTGAAACAATGAACGACCAGATAGGTAGACAACAAACAACAAAAGGTATTCACGCAGCTTTTAACAATCAGAACGTTTTGATTTTTGATATTGAAGGCTCTGACTCAAGAGAAAGAGGTGATGCTGATGCTCTTTTCGAAAGAAAGGCTGCCCTTTTTGGTTTGGCTCTTTCTGAAGTTGTTATGGTCAATATGTGGGAAAAAGATATTGGCCGTTATAACGCTAGCAGTATCCCACTTCTTAGAACTGTTTTTGAAGTCAACTTACAACTATTTTCTTCTTCACAAGAAGCTAAATGCCATTTGCTTTTCGTAATTCGTGATTCTACACATCCAGGCGAGATTATTGAAAACCAAGTTCGCCGCGATCTCGACATGATCTGGAAGGATGTCATTTTACCACAGAATTTGCAAGGAAAGAAGTTTGATGACTTCTTTGTCTTCCATTTCTTCCAATTACCACACTTGAAGCTCGAACCAGAGAAGTTCAAGGAGCAAGCAGCCAAGCTCGCTTCAATGTTTACAAACAAAGACGAACCAGGCTTCTTCTTCGCTCAGCCAATGGGAAAACTCATTCCAGGTGATGGCTTAGCCCAATACATCCATTCCGTATGGGACGCAATCTCAGAGAACCGCGAACTCAACCTTCCTTCTCAGAGAAAGACCCTTTCTAACTTCAGATGCGAAGAATTCGCAAATCAAGCGTACAAAGAATTCGAAACAAACGCTACAGAACAGATAGTTAGTAAAATCGATGCAAAGCCATTCACTGAGTTCAAAGAAATCGGTCAAAAACTCTTTGAAACAGCGATTCATAATTATAATCAACAAGCAAACAAATACGTTCGTGATATCGCTAACGAGAAACGCCAGTCCCTCCAGGAGAGAATCTCATCCTTCCTTGCTCCTTCTTTCCAGAGAAACTGCACAATTTTCAAAGAATCTGCCGAAAAGAAATTCACAGAATATATCGAGAAGCTTCCTACAGAACTCGAAGAATCCAACGAATGGGAGCAAAACGCCAACAAGAAACTCGAAGAAACAATCAAATCCATCGATGAATTTGTCAAATCTACAATGATACCAGAATTCAAGTGGCAATTCGATGTTTCCGATATAGAAGACAATCTACATACTCTAATTACCAATAAACTCGATACTGCGATATCCGAAATGGAGCAACGCGTTTTTGAGCGCCGCAACATCGAATACAAGGAGAGAATCAATGCAATTCTCGATTCCGCGGAGCCAAATATGTGGGAAAGGCTTCGTTCCGAAATGAGAAATGAGATCACCCAAACAACCTCCGAAATCAACAATATCCTCAAGAAGAATACTGTTGATAGACATCCATCTCCAAAGATCGCTAACATGTACTACAGATCCACAGATTCCCAGATAACTTCCGCTTCCCAGTTCATCCAGCAAAAGATGATCATCAGATTCGAAGAGAAGTTCCTCCAGGACGAAGAGCACAAGTCAAGAGTTTGGAAACCAGACGACGATATCTCGGCAATCTTCGAGTCAGCGAGAGAGAACGGTCTACATATCTTAAACATGTTCACTAACTCTCAGCTGAGAGAGCCAGGAACACCTGTCCCGTTAAATGATATCTTAACAAGACAAATCCTCACACAAATCAGACGCGAACAAATTTTAACAGAATTCAACGATACGATCGAAAAATCTTACATATCAGCCGTACAAATTCGCGAATCTCTTATCGTTAGGAATACAGTTCCACTCTGGATGTGGATTGTTATCGCAATTGGCGGTTACCAGCAATTAGTATCAGTCGTTGAGCATCCATGGAAGACATTATTCTTACTTGCGGCCATTGGCCTTGTTTACTGGCTCTGGAGTAACCAGAAATTAGATAAAGTTATTAAAGTCGTCAAAAACTACATCACACGCGTTCTCTGCATCATCGTTAAATTACTACAATCTACAACGCAGGAGATGGAAGTCGCTCCTTCGATTCTACAAGCTTCCAAGAAATCTGCAGCAAATGACATGGAACTTATCAAGAAAGGACTCGATGACAAGAAGATAGAAGATGAAAAGACCCTTGAAACAGCAGATACACTCGATACAATGACAACTGAAGTCTCTGAATCGAATTCTACTTCTGCATCAACAAATTCACCATCAAAGTCCGAAGATTCCAAGGAACCAGCACCAGCTCCAAAGCCAAGACACAGAAAGAGAGTTTCTACAAGTAACAATCCATACGCAACACTCCAACCAAACAGAATCAACCAGGCAGAGCTTCTTAAGATGAAGGAAATGATCCAGAAGAGACAAGCGGAAAAGCACTAACTTTTATTTTTATATTAAAATTATTTCTCCATGTTTCAGCAAAAAATAAGAATAAAATACTTTCATTTTTTTGAATTATTGGCTATTTTGATAATATTATTATATCAACAAACATATGTGATATTAGTAATCTTCTTATAATACATATATTATGTGTTTTTCCTTTAAATCTTATTTGAATTTTGATGATTATTTAATATTTTTCAAATTTTAAATGAAATATATAATCATAACCTAATATAAAATAAATCTCATTATATATAATATTTTAAAAATTTCCAAAAAATCTTCAAAAATCAAAAAATGAATTTCAAAATATAATTTTTTACAGTCTAAATTTGGCTCATATACACATATTTTTAAAATCTCACAAACTTTTTCATTAATTTCAAGTATAATGTTAGTTCATATTTAAAGATAAAGCTGAAATATGGCATTTTTATATAAGCATTCTTTATAAAAAGGCTTTTTGAACCGAGAATATCTTTACATTTACTCTTTTCATTTAACATTTTCGTGTCTTAGATACCTTTTATCAATACCAAACCATTTTGGTACTTAAATTCGGAGCACGATCGTATCCTTATTTACGAATTGTCTTATCCAAAGTAGTTACAATGCGATAAAAAGTGACATCGAAGATTTATTTTTCAGAGATGATTGACTTAGCAAAGCTCAATCCAATGAAAAACTGGGGACTTAACAGAGTTCTCGGATACTGCGTTGGTGCTGATGTCGGCGCATCCGGTATCAGAATTCGCGTTTCAAATCCTTCAAATGCAAACGAAATCATCGATATACCTCACCAAAAAGCAAGAAATGCTCAACAGCTTCTTGACGCAATCAATAAAGCAAACGAAGTTATTCACAAAGCAGTACCAAAAGCGAAGTGTTTCGGATCTGCTTTTGCAATTGCAGGACTTAGAAAAGGTGATGACATCATTCCAAGTAACTGGGCTCCTCCGGATGAAGTTCGTACAATCAGAACAGCTCTCTTCCCAGAAGGCATGTATCCAAAGGAAAATCATTACTTGTTAAACGATCTTGAAGCATGCGCTTATGGTATTTATGCAATGGATCTCCATGGAGATTGCAATAAATACTTCAGAAAGCTTTGGGGACCAGGAGAGAAAGTTGTAGGAAAAACAAGAACAGCAGTTATGGCTCTTGGTTCGGGTCTTGGCGCTGCTCTTATATTGAAGGACCCATACATGGAGAAACCATACGTTTTACCAACCGAATTCGGCTTCCTTCAGATGCCAACAATCATGAAAGCTCATGAGAATTACGACTACGAACAAAAGATATTCCAATACACTTCTGACTATTACTACGATGGAGCTACATGCCCAGGCTTCGAAGATTTCGCTTCTGCAAGAGCTATCAGATCTCTCCATAAATATTGGGTTCCTTCATCAAACGTCGAAGCAGCTACAATCTCAGATATGGCTAAAGCCGGAGATAAGCATGCATATCAAGCAATGCTTCAACATTATATTTATTATTCTCGCCTTGCAAGAACTCTTGCAGTAGGAATGAAATGCGACTCAATCGTAATGGCTTTGTTCAATCAAGTTAACAATGACTACATGATTGTCGATAATACAGACAAATTGAAGTTCGAATTCTTCGATGGAACTCATCCAGAATGGATCAAGGACACAAGCGTTTACTCGCAGAAGATTGATCACAATTTCAACTTATTTGGTGCAACTTATATGGCTCATAGAGCAATTAATAAGCAGTAATCATTGAAAGGTATATAGTTATTGAATAAAGTTTGACTTTTTTTGTTACTCGATTTAGTTTTTGAAGTTTGATCAGATATGGCATTTCAAAAAACGATGGATTACATCGTGCATTCTACACTAATATGTAAAAGAATTACAAATTCAAGCATGCTCACGGAGGATTTTGATGATATTATTGATTGATTTTATTAATTGCGTAGTTGCTAAACAGTGATTAAATTTTAGGTATTAAAGTACTATCTCATTCTAATCATATCGGTGAATCAAGCATTGCTTTCGATTGAAGATAATTTTTAAATTTTATTAAGTCTGTACTTGCTAAATCGTAGAAATGGTTCATAGAAATTACTTTAAACATTAGTGAGAATATATGCGCAGTTTGTGGGCCATCAAACCCAAATCGTTTCTTGATCAAATTTACTGATTTTCCAAAATATCTATTCATCGATCAAAATTGCCAAAATTTAAATTAACTAATAAAATTATGCACTGATTAAGCGCTTATACCATCATTGTTGTTAAAATGAAGATCGAGAAATCTATTGGATATAAGGATTTTTGTTGATTTCGTCATCCCAATACTTAATACTGATAAAGCAAGGAGAATCCCATAAAACAATTATAATCGTTACAAAAAATGCGGTAAGTGGTCAAGTATGAATTCACCTCATATTTGTCAATCGGTGTTCAAAACCTCCTAAAAGTCGATTGTTGTATATTTTAGCAAAATCCATAATATTGCTCCATAATATTACCGATGCTATCGTACTATTCCTATTAAATTTTTCTAAAATCCGCCGACCAGTCTGCCCACAATTGGATTCAATACTGTTTTTCTCTTCACTTTTATTGAGATGGAACCAATCCACATTCTCATCACTGGTGCTGCTGGTCAAATCGGCTACGCTCTTACATTCAGAATCGCTAAGGGTGATCTCTGCGGCGACCGCAAGGTTGTTCTTCACCTTCTCGAAATCACACCAGGCATGAAGGCTCTCGAGGGCTGCGTCATGGAACTTCAGGACTGCGCCTTCCCTAACGTTGCTGGCATTGTCTGGACAGACAAGGTCGAAGAGGCCTTCAAGGATGTTGATGTTGCCTTCCTCGTCGGCTCATTCCCACGTAAAGATGGTATGGATCGTTCTGACCTCCTCGCCAAGAACGGTGGCATCTTCACAGTTCAGGGCAAGGCTCTCAACGACTACGCTAAGCCAACAGTCAAGGTTCTTGTTGTCGGCAACCCAGCCAACACAAACTGCCTCATCGCTCAGGCTTCAGCTCCAAAGCTCCAGAAGAAGAACTGGTGCGCTATGACACGTCTTGACCACAACAGAATGGTTGGTGCCCTCGCCGCCAAGTTCGGTGTTACACCAGAACACATCCACAAGGTCTGCGTTTGGGGTAACCACTCTAACACCCAGGTCCCAGATACAACACACGCTACAGTCGATCTCCCAGAAGGCACAGTCAAGGTTGCTGACAAGCTTCCAAAGGAGTACCTCGAGGGCGAGTTCGCTCAGATGATCGCTACACGTGGTGGCGCTGTCATCAAGATGCGTGGTGCCTCATCCGCTGCTTCCGCTGCTAACGCTGCTCTCACATGCGTCCACGACTGGCTCTACGGCACAAAGGAAGGCGACTTCGTCTCCATGGCTATCCCAGTCCCAGACAACGAGCCATACGGCATCAAGCAGGGCATAATCTTCTCCTTCCCAGTTACAGTTTCTAAGGATGGTGAAGTTCACGTTGTCGAGGGCCTTGAACTCAACGATTGTGTTAAGGGCAAGCTCGAAGCCACAGAGAAGGAACTCATCGGCGAGAAGGAAACAGCCTGGAAGGTTCTTGGTCTCTAAACAATTCTAACTTTTGATTGAATCTTTATAATTAACTACCTTTTTTTACTTCTTTTTGAAAAGTTTTTGAAGAAGAGACTTCAAAACATTTGTTCAAATCTATTGAATTTATCCAATTGTGTTAAAAACAATTAAAATTATCCAGGATGGATCATAAAGATATCTTTATGGTATATTCCCATCGAAATCGAAATATTTGATTTATTTAAAGATAGATAACAACAGTTTTATTCTATATAGCATTAACAAACAATTAAGCTGATGTTTGGAAGAGTTTGAAAGTATTTAAGATCCAAAACCAGAAGATAATTGCTGGAATTACAAAAATAACAGTCCAGAAAACAACACTTGAAGTAGAACCCATTCCGATACCAGTTGCAGAAGAAAGAATGAAAGCAATGGTGGAAAGAGGCATTGTTGTCAAAATACTAATCTGTCTGCCCAATTCACCTTTGATCTTGAAAGCAAGGCAAAAGGAAATACCTAATATTGGAGAAATGATGAATCTCATTACGACACATATGAGAAGTGTTGAGATTTCGCAGGCAACGATTGAATTTGACTCTAAGAAGGAACCAATACCAAGGAGTGAGAAAACAATGACGAAATCACCAACGTACTTTGATAGACGGAGTAAAAATATTGGTGTCTTTAATGTTGTGCAAGACCAAATCAAACCTAAGAAAGCACCAACAAGTAATGGGGTTTTGCAAGATTTCCAAATAGCAACGCCAATGTCATGAAATGTTAAGTGATAAACAAAATCTTCTGCGCCTTTCTGTTCGTTTTCTTTCTTGATTCTGACGATGTTTGAAAGTAACATGTATAATGGAACAACGAAGAAGTAATGGAAGAATGGACATATAATAGCAATGTGTGCAGAGTTTTCACCCCAAATTGAAGTGAAAATTGGTAATCCAATAACAATGAAGTTAACGTAGCAAGTACTGATTTGTAATGTTACATACTTTTCCAATCCTTTCTTTCTCCATACGAGTATACTCAATAATAATATGATATGCAGTGAACAATTTACAAGGGCAGTAACTAGAAGAGGCCACCATGATATATTTTTTATAGTCTGTTTAATAAATGTACCAAACATCAGAAATGGCAAACCAACTTTGGAACATAACTTATTTGCACTTTTAAAATCCTGAGCTTTAAAGACATGAAGTCTTTGTAGAGTCCATCCTATAGCTATCATAATAAGCATTGCTACACCTACTTGAACGAGATCGGTATATAAACTCATTAGTAAAAAAATTAATCTATAAACCTCTTTAGACTCAATTTTTGAGAGTAGGTTCGTCAAAAATTGAATGTTCTATTCTTCCTTATTGTTTTTATATAACTGTGTGGATTTTCAGCCGTTTAATCGGCCATATTTTTGACAAATCAATTCAAAAAGTAAAATTGAATAGAGTTTGATCGTCAAACATCATTGAATTTTTTGGTAACTACTTTAATTTTGATGGATAATTCTAATTATCTATCCGGGTCGAGAATATATCACATAAACATTAATCCATTAGATATTTCAGAAGTTATGGCGAATAAAATTTAATATCATTCAAATTTTAATGAGTAATTCATATATAAGATAATACGAACTATATTTTAACCACAAATTTGTGAAGTATAAGATTTTCTTTCAAATTTTCAATACAAAACGATTAAAATTGTAACCTCAAATCATAATCGATTGGCCAATAGCATTTAAAAAGTGATAACCTAAACATTCCAGCATCTTTTTATATCATTAATTATTAATTATTTGCAATTTTTCATTTCCATCTTTTTTCAAAGGGGTTATTTATTGATTAATCCATGTGGGAATTATAATTCATTGCAATGTAAAACGAATTCTAATGAAATTAATATGAAATACATTTAAATACCGCATTCATATTGATTTTTCCAAAAATTATGTAGTTAATTGAACAAAAATAAAGAAAATTTTATTTGATTGCCAATTTAAATAATTGTACATAGATGAAAATCGATCTATGTTCGTTTTCATCAATTTCGTATATATCATTGAAGTTTTTCAGATTTTCATAATAAATATCACTTCATAACAAATTACCTATTCATTATCAATCTAAAATCAGTCATAAAATTAAAAAAATCAAGGATAAAACTACAACTATCTTTAAAAATCGTCGAGAATGGAGGTTGGCGCCATGGCCAAAAATCCCGAACTACCAATAACATGATCACCGAGTGATGGCATTGATTGGTGGTGATCTTCAGTACTTTCAAGCATCAAATTCCAATTTGTTTGCGTTTGTGGAGTATCATCAATGATTTCAAGCTCTGGACTGTCATCTTCCAATTTCATACGGGTTTCTTCTGTTGTACCGTACTTTTGTGCAATTGATTGCAAAGTTGACACTTTTCTCAGAGTTTGATCAATGATTGAGAGCAGAACTTCTCTCAATGGTACGGACAAGCCGGAAATGACTTGTGTTGGAAGGCATCTGCTCAAAACCGTTCCAGGCTCACTTTTCCACTCTGAGTTGATTACTCTCATGGAATTAACCTTCTGGCGACCTGTTTCCAGGATCTCTGTAAACTCGGTAAGTTTGGTGAGAACAGGAGAAACAGATTGATTATTTAAGATTGATTGGCGTAATTCTGCTTGAAGAGGCTCAATATTTACGTTTTCCGGCTTGATATCTGCGAAAACACCAAGGAGAGTTATGAGTCTCTCAGTAGAAAGGCTGTCAACTTCTGCTTTGCTTAATGCACCGCATTTTAAGCGCCATGTTGACCAAATGTGGACAACAGCTTCTTGTATTGACATTCTTTTTGGTTGGCCATCAATGTATAGTCTGACTCTTCCTGGACCAGCAGTTTTCGAATGTATTTGGAAGAAGTAGTCTGCGTTTGTGTTAAATGAGACAGCTCTGACTTGATATCCAGGCTGATGCGTCAAGTATAGCTCTGGGTAAACACGAATACCGTTCTCAACAAGTAATTCGATAAATTGATCCGCAAATGCTTTAACTTTCGCATTTCCATGATCGCAAACAAAGAAATGGACAATTGGTGGACGTGGTGTTAGCGCGTTTGGGTTATTCTCATTGTCAGCTTGAGTGGCCTTCGAAAATACTGCTTGAAAAGAGGCGAGTGGTGAAAAATTAGCTGACATATGTGGAGAACCATTCTTATCAACAATGCGAACAGGTGACGAACGTTGGGGTCTTTCTATTACAGGCGGACCCTTGTTCGACATCAGAATTATTCACAACGATGAAAAAAGGTGCCAAAAATTTCTCCAAAATTGTCAGATTCGTCAACTTAGAGATTTCGCGGCAACATGTCATAAAGTCTTTATATACATGGCACGATGGGCGCTACTTTTTTGGCGCCAGCGGCGCCGCCCGCGCCTCCGGTGGCTCCCACTGGTGGGGAGGAGACGATAGAAAAAGATATAAATTTTACTAAAAAAATTGAATTTTGGAAATTCTTTTGATTTTTTTGAATGATTTACGAAGAGATTGAACACATTTTGTACTATGAAATATCGTTATTAATAAATTTACTTCTTAAACATCTATTAAAATCGCAATTTTGAATATTTTTATGTTTTTTTTGACCCGATCACTTGCGCCCGCGCCCACTGGGAGGGGCGCTTGTAAAGTATTCAAAAATCAATGTAAACATTTCAATTTTTGCTCCCACCTCCCATTGGGAGGGGGGCATATATCTTGTAGCGTTCAAGTTCAAGTGATGAAAGTGCATAAGAAAGCTCCTTAATCATACCGATAGAAACAGCATTAGGGGCGCCAAATGGCGCTCGGTGATGTTTCCCATAAAAGCTTAATTTCAGGTATCCATAATCATAACCTGTCAGACGCAATAATTCATTAGCACACAATCATCGTTTCTCAATCAAGAAACGAAACGCAAGATTGATTATGCTGGCCATTAAATTTTCATATCAAATAATTTACTACTTCAAGAAAAATTAAAGACTATCATCAACCAAAGCTTAAAATTCTCAGTGTTTACAACTCTCATACTTCGAATATGCATATTTCCAAAATAGCATGAAAATTTTTTTCATTTGAGCTCATTTTCTTTTGTTCTATTAACTAATACATGCAGTACAAGCTTGTTATACGTATACTTAATAAGTAAGGTCTTAAGGGAAATAATAAAAAAGAATTTTGCTATTAATTATATTAAACAATATTTATTTGTAATTTCGTGATAATTATATTTCTTATTACAAAGTAAAGGTATTTGATATAATGTTTGCCTTACAAAAATGTTTCCTTTGTTTTGCCACCATAGGTATTCTATTTTGTCACTTTTTGCGCCCGCCGTGCCATGTATACATAAAGTATCTAATTTACTTATATTTTTAGGATTTCAGAAAATCATCTGTGATATTTTAGGGTTCCTAACGATGGGGTTGAGATATGGTTGCAAATAAAATCAATACATAATATCGTGATGATTGATATATGTTCTCCATCTAATTTGGACAAATCTTATTTTGATTTCATAAATCACTCACTAATTTTCTTAAAATTCGAACAATATTGTATTATATTTTTTATGTTTTCCTTAATTTGAGTATATCAAATATGGAATTCATTCAGAAATCTTTTTGGCATTTTTTTTGTAAAATTCGATCTGAAAATACGAAGGAATACAATAAAGAGTATTTGAGTAGGCAAAAAACTCACTATTTATATATAAAGCTAATAACATTTAAATATTTGATTTTTTGAACACAGCATTAACTATTATTTAATAAGTTTTAATCTTCAGCACCACTATCTATAAGAATATCTACAATGTCTCTTAGATTTAGCATCTTAGCATACATAATTGGTGATATATTGTTTTCATATTCCTTATTTATGTCACATCCTTTGTCAATAAGTGACTTAACAACTCTCTTAAAGATTTTTCCTATTGCAATCATTATTGGACTCTTATTATTCTCGTCAATATAATTCACATCAAATCCCTTTTCAACAATGATATCCAAGACATATAATACAACATCTTCAGGACAGTTATTCATCGCATGAAGTAATAAATGTCCGAAATCGGAAAATGCTTTGCAATTTTCTAACAAATCTTCAATTAAAGAAGGGATTCCAAACGAGGGCGAACAAATTAAGCAAAAATCAGCACCTTTCAATTCGCAAAACATTGCTAAAAAGCAGTGAAGATTGAAGTACATTGCTGCTTCTTCAAGCGGCAGTTCGTAACCAAAATTCATGTAAAAATAAATTGGAAAATCAATTTGATGAGAACATATACTTGTTTCAATGCATTTGCTACTTTTATGTTTAATACCATTCATTGTTTCATTAATAATCACGCTATTACGACCAATATAACTATAGACTTGACAATTTTCAGTTAATTCTGCTCCATAATTTCTAAGATATCTAAAAATTTCAATTGTTCCGTAATAAGAAGCCCATTCTAATAAAGTTTTATCGTCAATGACTTGATTGGCATCAAAACCATCTGCATTAGCAAATTGCTTGAACAGTTCAAAATCATTTTTATAAATCGAATATAAAATATTGTCACTTTTGTATACGTTTAAATTTTCTTGAACTGATTTTTGAGAAAAATTCATTTCGAAAGGGCTTATGTTAGTTATAATTCCTAATTCTTTTGCAATTAAACATCTTATACGAGTACTTAGTCCAGGAAAATTAAGACTTGGTTTGAATTCTAAGTATATCTTTTTAAATAATTCCCAATAACCTATAATATAGCGATCATTATATTCAAGAGCACGAGCTACCATTTGAAGTATGCATGAACCCGGTACTTTATATTTCTGAATCAAATTTTGAGAAATTAAATTGTATAAAGATGCTGTTTCATTTGTTTGAAGTTGAAAAATGGATCTAACTGTGCCAATATAGTCATTGTATTTGACGATTAATGAATCATAGATAGATCGATCAAAGGTTTTTTCACTTTCACTCATTTTTTTAGAATAAGAAAAGTGACAATTTCAAAAAACAATGTAAACATTTCAATTCAAAATTAACCTTATTCATAAAACTTAAGAGTTAGCTGGATTGGACAAGCCTATACAACGGATACAACATTGACCATGTATCCGGCAGGAATTGGCTAAAAATATTTCATCATGATACAGCTACTCGTCAGCTTTTTGATTCAAATAAGGAAAAAGCTTTTTATCAAGTTTATTTCATAAATACAAAACATATGTTCAGCATTATGGGTTATATTAATGATAACTTTAAAGTCAATTCTACATTTAATTATCTGTTTCGATTCGAAAACGAACTCTCTTCAGAGTATGACTATTTGAATCAAAGTTCTAATCCTCTTTATTCTAATATATCTGCTGATGTAAGTATTGAAGCTATATCTCCTGAATGTAATATCACTATTGGTAAATTTAATTCATTTAACGGATTAGCTTTATCATCGACTCATGAAACCCTTATTGACGGAATTGTTAATAATTCTAATTGGTATTATGCAATAGGTGCTAATAAAATGTATCAAACTAACTACACTATACCAGGACCTCGCTGCCAAACAGATAAAGCTGTTACAAGTCTTGATTTATGGCTCCAATATACTGATGATAAAATTTTCCAAATGCTTCCCAATTTAGTACTTCCTTCAATACCAAAATGTAATTGCTATCATACGCTTTCTAATTTGAACTTGTTTATTCTTATGATTTTGGAATAAATTTAAATAACATAATTTTTTTGAGATTTAAATCATAATTTTACATTAAAATCATTCAGTTAAACTAGGTAATAGTACATCAAATTGGTAGGCTTTGAGAATACAATTTTATAAATGAAAATATATAAAAGATAATTTATTTACTCTTCATCAGCCTTCTTTGTTTGTGCGTGAGCCCGCATACGTTTCTTACGGCCGAGTTTCTCGGTGGTCATAACAGATGTATCAGCGTATTTGATGTTCTTTTCAGATTCTTTCCAAACGAGGAAAGCTGGCTGGTTGACGAGCTGATTCTCAACGGAGATGTGGCGGTGAGAAACAAGAGTACGAGCGTGGTGAACTGAATTTGCAAGAGCGCGCTTGTGAACTTGTGTTTGAAGACGGCGATCCATAAGATCGTTGACTGTGAGAGAAAGAACATAATCGAGCTTTTGCTTGGACTCATCGAGAACACCGAGCTTTGTAAGGCGGCGAAGAAGAGCAGCACCTTCGAAGATACGCTTTGAATCATTCTCTGGAAGTGTAAGAAGCTCACGAGCAGCGTGGCGGATCTTAGAAAGTGTATATGAAACACGCCAGATTTCACGCTTGTTCTTGAGGCCGTATTCACCAACGACCTGAAGCTCCTTGTGCATACGTTCCTTCTCGTAAGGACGCATTGGCTTCTTGAATGTACGAGAGAAGTTACGACTCGACATTTATCCTGGAAAGGATCGAACGGACCAAAACAAAATTTACAAATCCTCTCAAAAATAAAAAACAGACGCTATCATCGGATTTGCCTATTTTTAAGTTTGGCAATGAAATAAAGATCAGCTCCAACAATGAATTTTAGTATCAATAACTCTCAAAGATAGTTTCACGGATTTTTCATTTTATGCGTTTATTCGGTTTTGTACGATTTTATATAAAAAATCATCAATAATGTAGCGAGCACATATCAAACATCATAACAGTATTGCTGTTTGATTTCAATTTCAAAACAATCTCAAAAATTTTGGAGTTTCTTGACAAAATTTAGAATAGCTCTTAATGTACTTCGGACATAATCATTGAATTCAAGTAGAAAACGTAATTACATCATTTTGAAAACAACCAAAAATTTCTCTCAAATTTGATGGAAAATCATTTCTTCAATATGAAATCGAATAGACGTTTTGATAGGCAAGCAATTCAAGAGTTCATGGTGATGTACAAAGACTACATAGAGCTTTGCAATGACATATTCAATCCTAAAGCAAAATTATCGAAAGATGACGTTAAAATGCTTTTCGAAAGGATCAAGACAACTTTAATAGCAAAATACGATATATCACCTTCAGTAATACTTATGGTTCTCCGCATGAGATATAAAGACCCATATTATAATAATGATTTGGCTCATCAACTGTCTGAAATGGTTAAAAAGGAGTATCACATAAAACAAAAAGGATTTATGGATGATGATATCACTGACGAAGATATACAAGAAAGGATTCGCTCCGGGGAAATGGATCCTGACATGGAAATGTCGACGATGGAATATCCAGAGATGGGAATGAGGCCTTCAATGGGAATGATGTCACATATGGGATACATGCCAATGGGAAGGTACAGACCAAGAGGAGATCCAGAAGATTTTGATTTTCCTGATCCAGAGATGCTAGAAGAGATGGAAATGATGGAACACATGCAAATGATGGACTATGTGGATATGAGGCGAATGAGAAGCTTTTTGACGCGAGAGAAATTCAGAATCTTTCATGAGAGAGAAAAGACTCCACCAGAGTCTATGGATACAACAAAGTTTGTAGAGCTTATCAAGGCCGACAACATCGATGAATTTCTCATCCAACTCGAGAAAAATCCGAAAATCTTACATTATGACAGAGTTCAATACACTCAAATGTTCGAAAATCTACTTCTACTTGAATCATGTGCATATAATGGCGCAGAAAAGATCTTTATGTACTTAATTTCGGAATACCCGGTTAAAATAACTCATAAATGCTTAGATGCGGCCATCTACTCAGGAAATAGCCATATAATCAAAGAATGCTTCAAAAGAACAAAACCAACAAGAATGTCAATGAATGTTGCGATAAGGATAAAGAAAAATTAAAAATTTTATGTTTCCTGAATTTCATTACCTAAAAGAACATAATTTATTGAAACGCTTCGGTTGTCATTGCAATTTTTACATTTAGAAAAAACGAAAACTCTCGAAATTTCTCGAATCATCAACAATTTCAATTGTATACATAATGTTCATATCGATTCCTAATGATGAGCAAAATGTTTATAGTTCTCCTCTCAAACTTTTACTCCCTCAATTCAAATTTTGAATGAAAATATAACTATCTTGTATTTGCTATTACAATCTAAATTTCCTTAAATCAGAAAAAATAAACTTCTTATTCAAAATTTGAATGTAATCACATTTTTTTTTTGAAATCAAAAACAACAGATGGATGATTCTAAAAGGATTGCCGACCCAGAAGAACAGTTACGTATTCTTGAAAAGGCGTACGAAACAACTTCTTCGCAGTTAAACCATCTGGAATCAACAATTCAGAAATTCATTTCAAATTTTGCAACTCAAGAGAACAGCTTAACAGAATTATATAACAAAATGAATCAGCAACAGAATGTTTATAAGAATATTGTTAGAGTCAAGAACTATATCAAAGAAATTCAGGATCAAATCAATACTTCTAAGCGTTTAGCTCCAATATTACAAACAAATATTGAAGAAAATTTCGATAATTACATGGATGCTATGAATACTGCTATTGAATCGCGTACATACTTGAACAGATTTCAATTTGAAGACGCATATCAAGAAAGACAAAATTTAAGCAGACTTCTTGATACAGCAAAATCAAATGTTTTAACATTTTTTGCTGATTTGGCTAATCGCTCAGCCACAGCTATTCTTATTACGAACTTTGCATTCGAAAATGGCAAATTCGTCATTACTGATTCGAAATACGAGAATCCCATTTATCCTGTACCAGAGGAGCTTCTAAAGAAAATGAATAGAATGGCATTTGCCTTAGACAAAATCCGATGTACAGAACATATTTCAATTTACAACAAAGCAAGAATAAAAGCGATAGAAGAAAGCTTAGGAGCAATTGTTGCCGAAGCCAAAAAGCGTGTTGTTTTACCAGGACCTCTTAATGTCTTAGATTTACCTACATATCAAAAACATCAACATCCTGTTCACACAGTAGCTAATCTAGTTGGTTTCTTTTACAAGCGCGAAAGAGCTTTCGCACTCGCTGTTTTCGGAGATAAATACCAGACCCCATTTAATTCAAGTTTCACCCCCTGTTTTGCGATGTTTATCAAAATCATTGATGCCCTTCAAGCAAACGTCCAAGCTCATATTGATATATTGCTTGAGATCGATCTTGTTGGCACGATTGTCGAAGTACTCGAATCTCTTGTGAATGAAGAAGATTTTTCGACATATGCGGTTCAATTAGCTCAATTATCACATTCATTCCATATTAACATCGAACGCATATTAGGACAGTTTAAGTCAGCTGTTGAACATCATGATCCTAACAGTGTTCCAGCGAGTGGAGGAGTTAGCGCTTTAGTTTCGAATGTAATCTTGTTCTTGATTAGTTTAACGCAATACAGACTTGGCCTTTCCCAAGTAATCAGTCAATCACTCGAGAATTACGTTCCACAGGTACTTGCTGCTTTAGATAAAAATGTCAGAGAAAAATCAACGCATTACACAGATATTGTCTTAAGACAATTATTCCTTATGAATAATGCTCACTACGCGTACATCGCGATCGAGAGCAAACCAGAGTTTAGCGCCATTGTTCCTCAAGATTTCAAAAATATGTTAGAAAATACCATCCAAGATGCCCAGAAGATATACATGAATGAAACATGGAACAAAGCTTTCGCTATTCTCTCGTATAATTCTGCTTTCGATGGTGTTAAAAAAGGCCAAAAACTAACTCCTCAACAGAAATCGATTTTGAAGTCGAAATTCAAGAATTTCAAAGAAGCAGTGCTTGAAATACAGCAGAAACATAATTCTTACTGCTTAAAGAATGCGAAATTGATGGAACCAATCATGAATGAAGCAATTTCTAAGACGCACTCTAAATTTGAGAGTTTTTACATGAGATGGCATGATTCCGGATTTGCAAATCACCCTGAGAAGTACACAGCTGTCCAACCTTCCACATTGGAAGGAATTATTAATAGAATGTATGGTCCTAAGAGAGCTTCGAAGAGAACTAGTTTGTAAATAAATATTTTATTATTTAAATTATATATTAATGCAGAATTTTTGTAATTTTATCATTATAATTTTGAATTTATAAGTTGTTTTATTGATATTCAAGATTTCCAACACAAATATTGACACTAATATTTCCAAAATGATCTTACTGTTTTCAGTAATTCGTCTATTATCAATAATCATGTATTTGCGAAATTCACCTTCAATATAGGATAACACAGTGATTTAAAGGCATTTAAGCTATGAAAACTTACGCATTTCGTTCAATAATATATAAAAAATTCAAACATCAAAATCATTTTAAATAATAAAAAAAACATTATCAAATAAAATGCATAATTCCAAATTATAAACCGGATTTCCTTTCTTTTCATCACCATGTAAATTTTTGTAAACACTAACAAACTTGAATGTTCATATAGTTTTTGAATTCTTCAACAGATGGAATAGGAAATTCAAGATCTGGGTAGATTCCCTGTGTGACTTCATCCCTGAGCCTGTTACGTGCCATGCATAGTTCATGAACAACTTCACGCGATTCCTGGTGTGTTGATGCGTAATCCCTTGCAAGAACATCGAGCATTCCAGCCCAGTGATATACTTTCTTTTTGTCAGGATAATCACTGATATAAGAACCTCTCTGCTCATCACACATCAAATGACTCCAAAAAATGAGAGCGACAGCTTGGCGGAGTACACTGAGTTTTTCCATGAACCTTTTGTTTGATGGATCTCTCCTTCTTTCTTCTGAACAATAGAGTTTGAGAATAAAATTCATGATACAAATTTTAAGCCCTTCTGATTGTGCATGAACATATTTATCGTAAATGTAATTTGCAAAAGGATGTGGATTGAGAGTTCTCTCTATAATATGATCTGCAATTTCTTCTGGTAAAATTACCACCATAGAATCATCTTCGATCTCATCGATCTCTTCCTCCTCTTCTGGCTCCTCGAAACAGCCATAAGTGTTAACCTTCCATGGGAATTCTCTGTTTGGCATAATGAAAAATGAAGTAAATTTTGAAATTTCGAAAATTTTCCGTATGATTTGAAAATTCAGGAAAAAAAAATTAGATAAGAATCCTTTCAATAATTGAAACAACTTTCCAAAATTGCAACATAGGATTTCTGAGATTTCTATATTTAACAATAGTTAAAATCCATGTTTAAACTAAAAATCTCATTTGGAAAAAGGATTTTAATAGAGTTAATTTATTTTCAAATAACAAACAGACATTATCTTGTTTGAATATTGCTTTTATTTAAATAAAAACTCAATTTTATATCATAAAAAAAATATTCCAATAATTTTTGGAAAAAATCAGAATACATACACAAAAAATTATAATAAGACAATCCAAATTAGAACAACAAAGTTTATACAGTGACCGGAAATATCCGATATTAGAAAAAAATCTTGATAGTTGTACAGTTAATGTTGACTCATTTCATTGATGGATACGAATGTAAATATAGGGAAATATACAGTAGGATGGTATTTTCAATATAGGAAAAGAAAAGAAAAAAAAACTTTAAAACAGATTCTCAACAAAAAACAATAATTTCTTTTTATTTAGAAAGTCCTGAAAGAATTTCCAAAATTTGTTCACAGTTATTTTGTGTTGCGTAATTCAATGAATTAAATCCATCATTATCTGTAGCATTGATATCAGCCTTATATTCAATAAGTAATTTAAACGCTTCAACATTATTATTCATAGCTGCGTAAATCAAAGGAGTTCTTCCATTAACATCATGATGTTCGATATTTGCATTCTTTTCCAGCAAAATTTTCATGATGTTAACATAGTTTTTAGAATTTGCACTCAACAAAGCAGTCATTCCATTGAATCCGCATGCCTCTATATTACAACCTTTGTCAACAAGTAGTTTAACAACATCAACATTGTTATTCTCAGTTGCAATCAGAATTGAAGTCAAATTTTGGACATCAGCAGCTTCTTTATCAGCATTTCTTTCCAAAAGGAGTTTGACAACTTCAACGCGATTATAATGAGAAGCGATCATTAAAGATGTCCACATCTGATGATCCCTTGCTTCTGTGTTTGCTCCGAAATCAAGTAGAACATTCACAATATCTGTTTTTCCATTCATTGATGCGTAAATCAAAGGTGTTCTTTCATTTCCATCTTTACTTTCGATATTTGCACCATTTTTCAGAAGTAAAACAACACTTTCTAGTTTATCACAAGAAGCTGCATGCAACAAAGGAGTTTTTCCATTCGATCCTTGCATCTCCATTTGGCTTCCTCTCTTCAAAAGAAGAGAAATGACTTTTGTTTGGTTGTTTTGAGCGGCCAACATCAAAGGAGTATTTCCTTGTCCATTCTTTTTATCAATCATAGCGTTGTTGTCCAAAAGAAACTCAACAACAGGACAAATACCTGCTTTAACACTTACCATCAATGCATTATTGCCTTGGGAATCAACAGAATTGATGTCATTTGTTAAAAATAGTTTGTTGAAGAAACATGGTAAATTACATGAATAAAACGCATTAGACCATGTGTAATCAAGCCTATATTTGGTTTGTAAGTATTGTACTGTCTCGTTATGATAGTTGTGAACAGCATTTATCATACAAATCGCTGTAATAGGAAGAGATCTTTCACAAATATGAACAATCTCGTAATTGTTACCGATAAATGAGTTTTCAAGGGTAATATTTGTGATTCGAGCATTGTTCATGAGCAGATAACGGAAGCAAGTGACGGATCCGTACTTTGTTGACATATCAATTAAAGTAGTTCCGTTTAGAGAGATATTGTAGTCAAACTCTGGGTAGAGACAGAGTTTTTGGAGATGGTCTAAGTCATCCCAGAGTATGGCATGTTCGAACGACTGTGGTTGGAAGATTTCGAAAATTTCATCTTGGGTTTTAGGAATGAATTGAGGGGGTATGAAACCGGTAATGAGGTTCTCTTTAACAAGTAATGCGCGTAAATGCTGCGATCTAGTGAATAATGAGTATCCATTCTGTAAATTATTTTTTTGTAAAAGTTTTTTGCAAACTTTGAAGACATATCTCAAATCATTCGGCCTTGTCTCTGCAATGAAGTCAGAAATTTGTAGGATTTGCTCAATCGAGAGCAGGTCTGTTTCGATACAATTTGAAATTGCTTCTAAAATTGTTTTGTAATTCGATTCATTGATGGACCAAATCATATCGCAATACTTAATAAGTAATGTACATGATTCAGGAAGCATATCCTGCGTTAATGTTGTCATAATAAATGAAATGAACTGTACGAAATTGTTGTAAAGGATTCAAATTCGATAAAATTCAAATTTCAACAAAAAATTTTTGTGATCTTACATTTGTATTGTGAGCTACTTTTATTTAAATATTACTGAAAATCATTCATTCTACCGATCGAACTGAATTTGCATCAAGTTTGACTCTATCTTAACCATATATCCTCATTTTCTACATCATTTCAAATGTGTTGCATCCCATAGTACTAATTCTCAAATGCTCGTTTGAATTACTTCTCCATTTTTTATCTTGCTGAATATTAAGCAGTATTTATTAGGCGAGTCTGTATGTTTTTGAAAAAGCATATGAAACAAAACATGGTATTTATTCACAAAGCAAAAGATATTCACTTATTTTGGTATATTGAATAATTTATCTTTGAAATAGAAAATCATGTCCAATAAATGAATGAAAGCATCAAAGTATTGATAGTTAAGTCTATCTCATCATCCAAGTTAATAGTTTCGATTGTTGAGGGTTTAAATATTGCAGCTTGACAAAATTCCTTGGCGAACATGGATGTAGTATTTGTTTCATGTAATTCATTTGATATGATGCAACCATAATCTGAAATTGATGGATTGCTATAATATGAATTATATATTAGTCCTCCATTTCCACTTTGACTTTTTGAAAATAATGGTGCAGAGTTTTCAACAATTATACTGTTTTCAATTTGAAAATATGCATTTGAATTTTCAAAAATAATACAATCTGAGCCACTGTTTCGTGCATATACTGTGCATTTAATACGATATTGCTGATAACCCAAATAAGAAACTCTTTGAGTAGCTGCATTATCTATGATTGTACATAAAGAAATATTTCCATGAGATATATCACATTGATTAAATAAATAAGCGGAATTAATCAATTGATAAGACTTACTAATATTGGTTGTCGTCAAATTTTGCTTACCATTGTTAATTGATATTCCATTGAATCCATTTCCATTTGCTTGTGTAATTGAGTTCGAAATTCCCAAGAAATTAGATGACTTTGAGTAAATAAAGGCAACATTGCCCGAGCAGCTGCAATCATTTGAATTCAAACGAACAAAAATACCAGAATTTGAAGTTATGTAGATTCCTCCTCCATTTAGAGCTGAACATGAAGTAAATTTCGAGTCAGTAACAAGAAGATTTCCACTTTCAATATCAATTGCTTTGGAAATTCGTGAAAATGTTGATAATGTAACAAAAATGTTTCCATTTGCGGATAACTGAGTTTGACGATTAGAATATATTGTGGGACTATTGACTCGGGGATAGTATTCATTCCATGATGCATCATCTCGATGAAATCGTAGCAGAATCATGAATTATTCTGAATAAAAATTGAACTTTTAACATTTCTGAATTGTTCAAAATTGTTTGGGTTGAAATATAATAAATTGTTGAATTCCAATTAACATTATGTAAATTATTGGACGAACATCTGATCATTTGAATTTGATTTTTTCAAATAAAATTTTGAGAGCTTACATTGATTTTTTTCTGTAGGATATTTTACTCTTCCAACAAAATTTACTATCCTATTAGTAATTTATATTACTCAATACATCATATTAACCGCAATTATTAATTCTGAGTTGATGGTAGTACAGAGAGTAGGGGTAATTTTAACTAAAAGTGACACGCCTGTTAAAAGTGACACACCCGTGAAGGGTGTGATTACCGATCGGTAATTTCGACAGTTTAGAATTTAAAATTTTTTATGGAACTGTTGCGAGTTTCATAAAGAATTTAAGGAATATAAGCAAAGATTTGAATCAAAATCTTAGACCTAAGCCGCTCGATTCGCTCGCGGCTTCCGCGAATTACAGATCAGCAAAGATTTGAATCAAAATCTTCGAACTAAGCCGATCGCTTCGCTCGCGGCTTTCTTTATTATTTTAAATTTGCATATTTCCATCAAAAAGTTCATAAGGTAAAAAATTTCGTTTATTTTTACTAAGAAAAAAAAGGTTTTGATAATAAATTTATTTTATTCGAAAAAAGTAGCAATAATCGTAAAAGGGTATTGATAGGCTTGCTAAAGTAACTAATTTTAGCTGTCAAATACTTTTGTATTTTGAAGTAAATTAGTATAAATTTGTTTTTACTTTTATTTCGAAAAAGTAGCAATAATCGTAAAAGGGTATTGATAGGCTTGCTAAAGTAACTAATTTTAGCTGTCAAATACTTTTGTATTTTGAAGTAAATTAGTATAAATTTGTTTTTACTTTTATTTCGAAAAAGTAGCAATAATCGTAAAAGGGTATTGATAGGCTTGCTAAAGTAACTAATTTTAGCTGTCAAATACTTTTGTATTTTGAAGTAAATTAGTATAAATTTGTTTTTACTTTTATTTCGAAAAAGTAGCAATAATCGTAAAAGGGTATTGATAGGCTTGCTAAAGTAACTAATTTTAGCTGTCAAATACTTTTGTATTTTGAAGTAAATTAGTATAAATTTGTTTTTACTTTTATTTCGAAAAAGTAGCAATAATCGTAAAAGGGTATTGATAGGCTTGCTAAAGTAACTAATTTTAGCTGTCAAATACTTTTGTATTTTGAAGTAAATTAGTATAAATTTGTTTTTACTTTTATTTCGAAAAAGTAGCAATAATCGTAAAAGGGTATTGATAGGCTTGCTAAAGTAACTAATTTTAGCTGTCAAATACTTTTGTATTTTGAAGTAAATTAGTATAAATTTGATATTATTTTAACTCCTTTGAAAACCTCAATTTTCCATACAGAGGGAACGGGAATAGCATCCAATATTCCCTGAGAATGGTTGCGCATTCTCAGTTCCCTCTATATTTCGAACGAAGCTCTCATCGGTCTTTTTTTTAATACTAAACGTTTTTTTCCCCTGTCACTTTTAGCTAAAATTTGGGTTTGCCTACCAGAGTATACATTAGTAATATGGAGTATACATATACCATATTACTCATATATAGCTGTTCAATCTCAAAAAATAAAATTAACGAATTTATATGATTAAAGAATTTCATAAATTCTGCATACATACATGCTTGATTTTGCAATCAAGCCATAATGCAGTTATTAAATTCAATCTATGATAAATATTTAATTATGAATATTAATTCTTTATTTAAACCATTAACAATAAAAGGATTATAACATACCGTATTAATACAACTATAATATCATTTTCAAGTTAATCATGTTAATAATGTGAAATTATAATGAAATCTGTTGATCAAATTTCCATAATTATTTAGCAATATTGAATGGTTTGAATGATATAAATATTAATACAACCAAATAAAAAAGCAAACAATAAATAACATTTTAATCATCTTGTTTCTGCTTGGTTTTCTTCTCTTTCTTTACGGGATCCAGGTTTTGCTGCCTATTTCTAACATCTATTGGGATGTTATTAAGACCTCTTGGATCTTTCATGTAAACAATCTAATACTCTTTGACTAATTGAAGAGCACAAGCAGTTGAGAGCCATTCGTTCATCATAAAAAGTGGTGTAACTCCAGCATCTGAACTGACATCTATTTCAGCAGCATAAAACAAACTTGAAATAAAATCTTCTGGTGAGCAATCTGGTGCATTGTAGTAGTTATAATGTAATAGTTTGCCGATAACGGTTTAATCTCTAACCCATCAGCAATGAGCGTTTGTTGACAATTCGGGCAATCATTATTAAGATAAACGTAAGAATTTATAATGAAATCGGTCTATTTGGAATAGTGAATGGCAACTTATTAATTGGAGCATTGCTTTCTGTTGATATAAAGAATAAATTTTGAATTTGGTTTGCGATTTGAAGTTTTCCTCTCACAAGGTTTCATGTGTTAGCGTTTGCACGCATTCCCCTTCTTTTTGATCAATAATTTAGTATTGTCTCCGTACGAAACTTCCATTAACTCATGTGCCCAAATTTCTGAAGAAATGGCAAAAATTAGCTAGTTCCTTTCAATTATTTTTACTTCTTTTTACTAAAAAATTATATTTGTTATTACATGTAGATTCTCAAAAAGTGAGAATGTCAGATTATTAAGGTTCCTTTTTGAATAGTTTACGTAAAATTAAAAATCAAAAATGAGCACACATTTAGAATCTATGATATACAAAGAATTTATTTTCCCATATTTTTGGCCAAAAAACAAATGCAACTAATTAGTAGTAGTATATGACGGGTTGTGTGACTTTTTTTGTAAACGTAAGAATTCATACAATATTGAGCGATTTTGTATCATTTTTTTTGACATATGAAGTAAAAAATGTATGATTCTTACGGTTTTTATTCTTACGTTTTTGAATAAATCAAGATTTAAAAATTTTAAAAATTGTAAGACATTTACACTCAGCCCAAATGTATGGCAAATAAGTTTAAAAACATAAGAGAAATAGGTGAAGATACATATCAAATGATGCTCAAAGATAGATTTTATAGATGTGATACATGTTTACAAGAGGCATTCTTCACTTTAGATAATGCTAAATACTGGTATTTGGTTTTCATTTATGATTTTATGTATAAATGCATGAATGTTAATCGTTTTCATTTCATTGAAGGTGATACTGATTCATCTTATTGGGCAATCGCTGGCGATCCAAATCTTCCTAACACTCAAGCATTTCAAGCGATTGTAACCGATAAACAATTTTATGATAAAAATATTTTCAAATTCGCACCATTTGATTTCTTCTGTTTTGATGAGAAATTTAAACCTAAATTAAAGAATAAAGCTGAAGAAAAAGCACATGAGAAGAAGTTATTGGGTTTAGCAATTGAGAAACAAGGTGATAACATGGTTGCTTTATGCCCTAAGTGTTATACATCATTCAACGGTTCAATTGATGGAAGTGATTTTAAAAAGATAGTTAGTATACATATCATGGGTACGGAGGCACTGCGCGCCTCCTTACCCCTGATATGTGAATTTGACACTTTACAAAACCGTTAACGTATATTTTACAACACAAACGACAACACTAACTTAACCTTAAATATTTACAAAGCCGCCAACCACTTCACCTCACTAATGTAAAAATAAACGTTCTCACTTACAAAAGTATTGCAACTCCTCCCATTGCTGTGCTTCATATAACAGCTCATAATCTTCTGACTCACTTTCTTCTTCATATAGGTCAAAATCACTGTCATAGTTTATACCTGTAAGTTTTGACAAAGCTAATGAAACACGCTTACCGTTTGTATCATATGCTTGTATAAACTTTCCATTATGCTTGTAGTCATAAACGCTCAAACTAACTTTACCCTTTCTCCCTCGTATCTGATAGAATGTATTTTCACGAGGAACGAAGAATAAATTCTTGAACTCATGACCGTTGTAGTTTGTTATCTCAATAGTTTTCGTCATTTATATAAAATTAAAATAAAAAATAAAATAAAAATTAATGATATCACCACCCTCACACGTATGAAAACATCCATTTAAATTTAGGTGAAGTGGTGAGATCTCACCTCTTTTTTCACCTGTTTTTTCACCCCGTTGAACTCATTGCTTTATAACTCTCTTCCTTTCTCCAACTCTTCTAACTTCTTCTTAAGTTCAGCAATGTTGTCCTCATGAAGTTTAATCTTTCTCAAAATTCCTTCTTTATCTAATGGTTTCTTTATCTTTCTAAACTGAACTCTACCATCCTTCATAGTATGAATGTAAAAACCTTCTGGAATAGTTCCTGATTTAATGTATTCTACCAAAAACTTTTGTTTCATTGCTTCAGTGACTTTAGTCGTCATTTCAATCAAATAAAAATTTTAATATTAAATAAAAATAACGTTATTTTTTCAGTAAGGAAACGCAGGAGTTTTACGATTTATTTGAGGAGTAGGTTCTGGTTTAAATGTTGGAGTCGGTTTAGGAGTTGACTTTTGAACAGGAGTTTGTACTTCCATAGGTTCAGGAGTCATTGAAGGTTTTGCTTGTGAAGGCGTTGGTTTTGGCGAAGGTGTTGGAGTTTGTTTAACTTCAGCTACTTCAGTATTATTTACAACATTTGCTTTATTTCTTTTCAACATCATAACTGCTCCTGTTGTAGCTAGCAAACCTAGTGGGAGACCATATCTTATATAAGGACTTGACCAAATGCTATTTTTGACAGGAGCTGGTGGAACACCTAACCTTGGTGATACTGCTCTTTGCCATTGTGCAGCTCGTAAGAAATATTCAATAGGTGCTCCATAATCGTTTGGTAAAGTTTGTTTCATAGATGGTGAAGGTTCACGAGAGCTTGATGAAGAACTCATTTATAAGCTTTAAAAATAAACGTTCATCCTTTATTCCTCACTGTCGTCCGTAGCTAAGTTATAGTCATCTAATCTTATTATG